TACTTTCTTTAGCTTAGTTTTTCTTTAAGGTAAATTTTTAAAAACACCCTAAAGATTACCTACGTTCTAAAAAGATCAAATTTGATTACAAGAAGAAGGTCTTCTTAGGTTTTCTTTTCTTACAAAGAATAATTGAACAAAAAAATTCTTAGGGGTCTTCTTCTTTTATTTTTCAACATGATCAAAGCTGTACAACAAAAATAAGGACCCTTGCTGCAAATTCTCTTCTTGCTTTCTTCTAAGTCTGATCATCTTCTGCTATCTTAGGGTCGTTGCTGAAGAATATTTTCGTGCATCCGTTGGAAAAAAATATGGAGCACAGAAATTAAGATCAGAAAGGTAAACTCTTGGAACTGGTGCTAATCACCAAGTTCTTCAGCTTTGCTGAATCTCCCGCACTGGCTCGCCCAGTAATCAACTCCAGATTCTTATACAAGCTCTGTTTCACCAAATTCTTCATCATTTTTCTCCCTTCCTGAACTTCTCTTTGATTTACAGGCGACCCGATCACTATTCTTCCTGTCTGTGGCCCAGAATGTGGATACATTTTTGCTTGCTTCTCATTCTTAAACCATTGTAATAGCTTTAGGGCCCTCTTTTGAGCCAGTGGACTACCTAGTAATCCCACTTCAAGAAGCACTGCAACAATCCCAGATTTCGCCATCTTCTCTCTCTGTTCTGAGCTCTGATGTGCCAATATCATTAAGATATAAGCGGATAACTCAATAGATTTTGGTTTGTCCTCCCATGTCATAATCTCTATCAGACTATCCGGGACCATTGGGCTGCTCTCCATTGCCCTTTTTCCCTGTGAAGTCACCACCAAGTTCCCCAATGCTGCGAGGGCTCTATCCGAATGGCCTTTGGATGAGGACATTCTCAAGAGGGTTTGCACCACACCATTTGAGACCAGAGGCCCTACATTCTCTAGCACTATGGAGATATTATACAGAGTTTCAAGGCAGCATCTTTGGGTCTCGAAATTTGAGGTTAATTCTAGAATCCCCAAAAGGAATGGGATAACACTTTCATTCGCCTGTAAGGCAATTGTGAAATGGGAATTGATCAGAGATGACAGTGACAGCAGCAATTTTGCAAAATCATGTTTTGCTGATTCATCCATGGCTTGGATGTTACTTGGAAGTTTGTGTAAGATTCCTGCTTCCACCATGAGGGCCTTGTTCCTAAAGAATGGTACAGAGAAAAGTAAGTCCAAGTCAGAGTCGAGCCACATGGTAAATGCTGGTTTTGGCCAGAACGGTTCAAAACTTTAGAGGCAGATGACAAACCAAACCACAAACCCAGTAGGCATAACCTTAACCTTAAAGTAGACATCTTTTTTATTAGTATGATGCTCAACTAAACATTTGATTTATAATTTCAATTAGGACAGATCCAAAACTTAACTGCACTAACCACATGCCTATCTTGCCAGAATATAGAGTTGACCCAATATGCTTAATATTTTTCCTCTTTCTCTCTCTTAATTAATACCTTACAGCTTTTGGTTATTTATGTATACCCTTTTTCAAATTTTGGGTTATCGAGGACATCCAAACTACTGCACATCTTTCTGTAAAGTTTCTATTTTTAATTTGAATTTGGGTGCTGTCTGCCTTAACTGTTCCACTCTCTCTTTTATTTTGATACCATCTGAAGGTGAAGCTAAGCTGACCCTTTAAAAATTGAGATGATCATTGATGGAAACTCTCAAATGAGAAGAAATTTCCCATCAAATGACTTCTATTTACCATTAGGGGAAGTGTTTTTCTTTTTTAACTAAGAGAACAAAGACATGGATCGATGCACGTAAAACAGAGAACACAAAATTTTGAATGATTTTAAAGTATAACTTACTCGAAGCTTCCTTTGGCAAGCTCAAGCAACGCTTCCACAGCCACTTCCGGTCGCCCCACGGCGTCGGACGTCACCATCGAAACCAAGGCCGGTACAACCCGGAGCTCCACCATTAACGTTTTCACCTTCACGTCCTCTTTAGCCATATTCACAATCACCTTGGCTGCCATCTCCTTCTCTTCCCAGCTCCCAAAGTGAAGCTTCTTCACTGTCCTCCTCAACGCCGCCGCGAATTCATCTGCGCCACCACCAATTCCACCGGTACAGTCGCAATCAGGTTCTGCAACGTGTATGGCTTCATTACTAGTTGGTGTAATATTGGGTGAAATAGCGATGGATTCCGTGGGAGAGACGTACGGCTTTTTGGGCGTTTTGGAACGAAGGAACCTCCGGATTCGATTGAAGAATCGGAGCTTCACGTATGAATATACCCAAATGGGTGTTTGAGCAGAAGAAGAAGAAGAAGAAGAAGAAGAAGAAGAAGAACTTGGATTCATGGTGAGAGATAGGAATGGGGGTTTAATGAATTATGAGAGAGAGAGAGAGAGAGAGAGATGAAGACACAGGCACCCCCAAACCCAATGGCAATATCATCCCATGCCTCCTCAACGATCAAGTATTTAAATTTTAAAACACAAACGATTCGATTAAATTAAATTAAATTAAATAAAAAAGAAATAACGTACGAAGGACACCGGCCTTAAGTCTTAAAACAACACATGCTCTGTTTATTATTATTATTAATTAGATCACCTAATTATATAATCATTCAAAACCTTACACTAATTTGTTTCATTGATTTCCTATCTTGGTTCATGAATCATGTACCCTCCCATTTTAGACAATAATCTTATTTAAACACATACTTAATTATTGTGTGGGCTATGCATCAGACGTGATTCAATAAAAATTGCTTCCTGGAAGAATTAGCGTAATAATGGAGGCATCCAGATCTGTTAATAATACTCATTGTGATTAAGTGTAGATTTAATTTGTTTTTGTTAAAAGATTTTGTCGGCAAAGGAACACCAAAAAAAGGGAACAAAGTTCATCCCCAGAGGTCTACGAAGACAGAGATTGTGTTATTTAACTTCCAGATTCCTTATTTGCTCATTAAATGCATTTGACGTCTCTTTTGTTCTGTCTGAAACTAAGTCAACTCATTGCTACAACTTTAAATAACCAAAATTCTGGGTTTTTTTTTCTTCTTCTTTTTTCTGTTGAGATTATTGTGTTTTTATGATACAATCTTACCAAAAAGTTAAAAATCTTGGATTATATAGATATTAGGGCACACTAATATGTAATTTGAGTGGGAAGATTTTGTTGGATTTCTTTTTTAATCACCAATTTTGACCACTCTAAAATGTTTGGTATAAAATGTGGGTGGACTTCCAATACATATTTATATATGGGGAGTGAGAGAGAGAAATGCACACTTCTTCTTCCAATTTGCAATGCCTATCCCCACATCAGATTTCCACTGCCTTCTTTAATTTCAATTTTTCTTCCCCGACTCAAATAATCAAAATTATTTAAATTATTCAAACCCCACCGTCAGCTGCTATTGTTCTTTTATACGAATTTTTCTTTTAGATTTATAAGGAATGTTTTGTTATCTTCGTTGTATAAACTTCTCCCTAACAAACCCAAACCCGATAGTATAGTTATAGAGTACTTTCTAAGGATATAAAATTATGGATTAGATGGTTTGGTTTTGATGAAATAATTAATGATTATAGTGGGAAAGTTTATCCTTAAGTAAGTGATGGTTTTGAAATAGGAGGGGCGAAAAGTGGAATATGGTGGTTTTATGAGGTGTGCCACAGCCACAACGAAGCTATTAAAAGGGCTGCAATTTTTTCTTGTGATGATATAAATGTTTTACTTCCTCTGTTTCTCTCTGTCTCTGTGTAAAGACTGTTAAAACAAAAGAAAAGAAACAGAGAGTCGTAAAAAGGCTTCAGACTTGGGATGGGGAAGTCGTAAGAATCCTAATTTTCCACGAAAACCCATCATCACAAGAAAAACTTCTTCTCTCTAAGCTTAGCCACTTTGACTTCGCCATTCAAATTCAAATTCAAATTCAAAACCATTATTAGGCTAATTGCACGACGTTGTAAGAAAGAAGGGAAGCATGGAAAGTTTGAAAATGGGAAACAGAGCATAATACAGGGAAAGGGAAGGCAGGAGAAGGAGGGCCGAAATTGACCCAACCCCGGAAAAGTTATGGACTTTGGAATTGGATGAACTTTCTTTGAAATGGGTTTTTGTTTTGACTCATGATTGTGTTCTTGTCTCACTTTTTTGAATACTCAAAGATGATAAAAAGAAAAAAGGGAAACCAAAATCCACCCACTATGTGTAACACATGGGCTTCAGAAATTACAGCCCAATCTTTGCCTGGTGTTCGTAGCAATTAAGGAAAGTTTAGCTATATTGGTTTCAAATATGGCTATGAAGTTGGTTGAAGCTTTTTTGATTCGCCAAAGAACACAAGCAATCAAATCCCTCCTACAGAACACAAGCTCTCCTCCACGGCAGCAATGGCATCACAAGCCCTGTTCGTCAATCCAACCCGCTCACCTCCATGGGCTTCTCTTTCCATGAGGCTGGGCTTCTCCTTTTGTTTCACCTCTTCTCGTTTGGACTGAGCTATCATTTTCTGACCCACCCCAAATGATGAGGGACCAAATCCTCATTCTTTACGTGTATGTAAAAAGGAGCACAAAATTTCCTCCCCGTGCATCCCACGCTATACATATATATATGTATATATATAACTCGGGGAAAGTTTCAAAATCAGACACCTTGCCAGTGAGGACATTAGGCCCGAAAGGAGTGGACACTAGGTGGTGTGCAACGAGAAAACTGGTCCTAAAGGAGGTGGATTGTAAGATCCTACCTCGATTGAAGAGAGAAACGAGTGCTAACGAGAACACTAGAGAGGAAACGAGTGCTTGCAAGGATGCTTAATCCCAATGGGATGAATTATAAGATCTCATGTTAATTAGAGAAGGAAACGAATCGCTGTTAAGAGTATAGAAATCTCTTACAGGTTTATCTTAAAAAAGGAAGAAGGTCACAAGAGAAAGCCTAAGAACGACCCTATTACAAAATATTACAAATGTTGTAGTGTCCTGTTACATAGCAATATTGTTTAACTTATCATTAATTTGCGTTGCTCAGTTGACAAAGCTTGAAACTTTGAAACTAATCCTCTTGGTTTCAATCCCACACCGCCCATCCGGCAATATGAATCATCGGATCATCACCCTCAGCCACAGATAAATATTTACATAATCACATGTCAAATACCTAAATCTGTATATCTAATTTCCACATAAAATCATCGAAGCATTCAAAAAAAAAAAAAAAAAAAAAGAAAGGGAGACGTTAAGACGTTTGACCGTATTGACCGATAATCTTCTGGCGTTTGAGAGGAAAAACTTGGGTAAAATCCTGTTCCGCCACCGCAAGATGCCACCCCTCCACCGCGTCCAATTCAAGCTGATGAATAATCCCAGAAGCAGCATCGTAAAGTTGCCCATAATCATCAGGCAGCTCACCGGAAAGCGTCCGGCAATTGGGCGGCGGCTTGGCTCTCCGTCGTCCAGCTCCGATGGGGACATTCCGGAGCGCCCCACCAGCAGTCCAGTACCTTTGACAACCCTTACAGAAATGTCTGGGCTGATTAACATTGTAATTGTTAAAGTAACAGAATTTGGTGTCCATGCTCTTACATCTTGGACAAGGAATAATCTTTTCAGGCCTCTTCATCTCTGTTTGATCACCTTCACCACCGCCGCCGCCTTTCTCCGGTTGATCCTTGACTTTTCTGGTCTGCAAAGGAATGATAGTGCCAAAAAGCTTAATTCCAGCCGTGGCGCTACCATGAAACTGAGCCATATGTAAAACAGAGAGAGGGAGAAAAAGAAGAGGGTTGTTCCTAATTTATTCTTTTTTGGGGAAGTGGTGTGCAGAGAGGACACATAGGGAAATGGGTATATATATATGTGTGTGGAAGTAAAAGTTCATAATACAAAGCAGTAAAACATGAGAATCGATGAGACAAAACAGACGGCAATTAGTCAAATTGATAGCTATTATGGTGGGAAAGAGTGAAAGACTGGGTATCACCCCCTTTTTCTTTCTCTCTTTTATATATATATATATATATACATACATCATTTGCTTCATATGTCATCATCAGATTCTCTATCAATAAAGAGAAAGAGAAAAAAGGAGAAAAAAGGAAAAAGATGTGGGAAATTTTTATTCAAATTTCTTTTTTTAAAAAAAAAAAGTATAAGAAAAGTAGGGTGCTTTTGGTAGAAACTTAAAGAGATTGAAAGGTTATTGTATATATGGAAATTTAAGATTATATTCACAAGTTTAGGAATAAATACTGCATCTGGTCTCCTTCTTCTCTTCTTGTTTAAGTTTCGCATGATTCTGTGTGGGTTTTTTCTTTCTTGTTCTTGTTCATCTTTAAAAGACTCAACTTTTTGAAAAAAAAATTTTGGAGTGAAAAAGTTGCATTGATACTTAAAGGTAAGAGCTTTTGAAGCTTTTGATTTGTTTGTTGATGTGGGTCTTCCAAAAAGCCTCATTTTATGGTGGAGATGATCGACTTTTTTGTGGGTATTAAAGTTTTGAAATTTGAGTTATGGACAAGTGTACACACTATCCTTCTTATTGCAAATTCAAATTATATGATAAACATAAGAAAGCTACCTTTATTTATTTATTTATTTGTTTGTTTATTCAACAACACTTTTTAATTCTATATATCTTCCTTTCTTTTGATGGAAAAAAGATGCACTTTCTTTTTCCTTTTCCTTTTACTTCTCCTTTTGGGAAGGAAAAAGGAAGCCACATTAGATGAAAAAAAAGGCTTCCTTTATCTCCAGTGCTTTCTCTTTTACTTGCATTAGATTAGATGTCTTTATGCGTATGTTATAAGTTTAATTCGGAACTTTTTAGCTTGTATCTATTTAGATCCATGATCTACTAATGTTGGGTGTGGATGCACAAATTACACGAGGCTAAGTTTAGGCGAGCCCACGGACATTTTGGTATGTGGTTCGGTCATCTGAGTCAATGCTACTCTTGCAGGCCTTCAAGCTTATGTTGTGGCAGTGTCGAGAGGCTATGGGTAGTGTCTCATATGATCTTCTTCTCTTGGTTTTAACGCTGTCCTTTATGCCATCGTGCTGCCAAGAAACGGGCTGGGCCATAAGCGTCGGCCCAAATATGTGAATGGGCTAAAGCATTTTGCAAAATTCTTCCATCATTGTCACGTTAGGCGACAGGCCAAGCTGGGACGGCTCGTCATCTCGGTCGCCCACCGCCGATCAGCAACAACAGCTGCAGCCGCCGTTCCTTTGAGCCGCCACGAGTCCCAAAAGCGGCGAGATTGGAACACTTTCGGGCCATATCTTAAAAACCGAACACGCCCAGTGTCGTTATCCTACTGTAGCCGTAACCATGTACTTGATTTTCTTCGATACCTGGACCAGTTCGGAAAAACAAGGGTTCACTCACATGGGTGTGTCTTTTTTGGACAACCCGACCCACCTGCCCTCTGCCCTCTGCCCTCTGCCCTTTCCCCTTGAAACATGCTTGGGGCAACCTGGACGCCCCGATCGCCCGCCTCCGCGCCGCCTACGAGGAGCACAGGGGGTCGCCGGATACCAACCCTTTTGGAAATGGAGCTATTCGAACGTACCTACGGGAGTTGAAGTGCCAGGCGAAGGCGAGAAAATTTGTGTACAAGAAGAAGAAGAAGATTAGGCTTGTAGTCTCTCACAAATTTATAAAAATTTTCCGAACTAAATTTGTAATTTAACACATTTCTATTCCACACGAGCACGAGCAAAATAAATGGATGTGCAAGTGCAGTAGTTCAAGGCAGACAAAGAAACAAGGACTCAAGCAAAAACCTGGATTATTCTTCTATCCATGATTCTGGATATCGAAGACGTCCTTGAGGTGATCTTGTAGTTTCTACGAGGGGAAGATGATGAGGTCAGGCCATGAATTTTCCTGCTAAGCTAATCTATGAATTCAAAATTGAACTTAAAAAACTATTAATTTAAATTTTAAAGCAACAGGATAAAACAATATATTAGTAACTACAATGGCATTTAAAATTTTATAAGAAAAATCTGACAATATTACAGCTAACTTGAATACATTGGGGACTAAATACAGGTCCAGCCTGCTTCCGAATTCAGGTTCCTTTTCTATTCAATCAAAAAAGAAGAAAAAGACGAGCTAAGAACACTATAAGAATATTAAGATAGCTCTAACAATCTGCTTTAGCGGTTCACTTATACCCATATATCAGCTGGCTGCAATAATATGTACTCGGGGAAGGACACAGACAAAAGTTGAATGCTTCCATACAACGTTCCAACACTGCCATATGTCACTAACCATAGATGTCTGCAAAATTGCAACCAACATGTACGCAAATGAGAAACAAATAACATCTTATGCCAAAGTAAGAATTCCATACACACCACAAATGTTAATAATAAACATCAGAATGGAACTTGCAATCTGAGACATTTTAAACCATTCTTACTTCACCTTGCTGCTTCTCATGACCACCTTCCAATACAATGCACTACTACAGTTTATCAAACAGCTGAGTTTGAGGCATACTACAGTTTATCAAACAGCTGAGTTTGAGGCATCCTACCGGACAAGTTTTGAAAAACTTGTTCAAGTCTGTCTGTAACAGCCTAAGCCTACCGCTACCAGATATTATCCTCTTTAAACTTTACAAGAATGGGTAAACCTATCTCTTGCAGATGCGTTTTAAAAACTTTGAGGAGAAACTAGAAAGGGTAAGCCCAAAAAGAATAATATCGACTAGCAGTGGGCTTTGGCTGTTACATTGTTGATCCCCGAGTGATTTATATTCTAAACAATCTGATAGAATAGTTTTACAAATTCTTCCAGAACAGACAGCACAGAGAGAGAAATTTGATGTCCTTTTATCTTACAACTTTAGACAGGAATATAACTTGGAGCATATTTGGCTGTATTCATAGTTATTAGACCAAACATAAGTTGACTAAAAGAAAAAAAAAAAGAAAAAAAAGGAAGGAAAAGTCTCCAAAAGTAATGCATTCCAAAAAGGCCAACTATTCATCAAGCATGCCGATTCTATATTCAAGCAAAGAACAATATGCAAGCAGCAAAAGGAGGCAAAGACAACATCAAAAGGGAGAGGGGGCATCATAACCTAAAAGGCTTCCAGTAAGCAAGACTAATGGAACACTGAAAGTCCTCGGTGATTAATGGCTTTGGTTTGGGTGGGGGATCAAACCCATATACCTGCCCTGCATGTGAATCTATCCCTTAAGCTTCTCCTATTTCTCATAACCAAGATTTTATAAAGATCCGAAATTAAGCATACAGACTTTCCCTGAATCAGTTTGTCTCTTGTATAACAAAGAATGTTTTCCTTCATCTCTAAACATGATCTAACAAATGAAGCAAAATAAGAATGATCAGTTAATAATACACACTGGTAATGCATATAAGTTGCTACTTATGATACCAAATGCTTCCTACAATCTTCATCAGTAGAGAAACACCATAGAAGAAAATTGGAAGCGGGAAAGACAGCAGTTTGATGATCTCCATTTTTTAGTTCCTAGTACAAGCAATTGGTAGTAATTTCTCATTTGGGGTAAAATAATTGGTTATTTAGCCTCTTACCTACCTAAATAACTCCTCAAATACTTGTTTATAATTGGAATAATAAGGAGATGAACAGAGGGGCGTGCTCTGTGAAGGATCAGGGATGAATTGACACATAGAGAAAAGCAGTTTAGACTCTCCATGAGTTCATAGATTTCCCAAATCAACAACAGTCCACCACTAGCACATAGCACATATTTGACAAAGCGAATCAGGGGAAACCAAAAGCAAAAGTAAATAACAAAAATGAATAACCTCTTCAAAGAAGACCATTCCTATTAGACATCATCATTAAAGGGTATGTATCTTCAAAGGGTTAAATCCTAATGCAATTAGAAACAACGTTGGTAAAACTCCAGAAGTTGACTCTGTTACTTCTCACGAATACTTGACGTAGGAAACAAGAAGAGCTTCAAACAGCAGATCCCTTCAAAACGAACTTCAAACTTCGACAGTATACAAGCAAAAGTGCAGATCATATCAGCCTCATGCATATTCTAAGAGGTCTAAATATTGAGTAATAGATGCAGCAAGTACCGAGTGTAACTTTAATCCTTCACATCAAACATATTAAAGAAGTACAAAAGAGTAGTGGTTAAGAGCAAGGCATCTGATGGGTGGACAGAATGTAATTACATTAGTATTTACACTTCAAAAAAAAAATCATTTTTAAAGCTCTAATGAATGGCAAGTTCTTCATTTTACAGAGTAACCCAGAACCCACAATTAAAGAAAGGCAAAAATAAAAAGAATTGGAGATTTTTCTTACCATTGGAACCCGATTTCTTCCCGCGCTTGATCCTCTCGAGCTGAACTTGAGTTTCCGTAAACATCTGCATACGCTGAACCTCCAAGTCCTTTGCAAACTGCATCCTCTGCTTCTCCAATTCCACCATCTGCCTCAACTTCTCTGCTTCCACTCTTTCATACATCTTCCCAAACCTCCCTATTGCTTTGGCCAACCTTCTCATGCCCTCTCCTTCTCCCTCCTCATCCTCACTTCCCCTCTCCTCCGCCTCTGCTTCCGCCTCCTCCTCTTCCTCGTCCTCCGCTGCTTCTGTAGCAGCAGCCGCGGCAGCCATGGCCGAATAATTCCTGCGAAAAAACCCATCATCCACTGCCGCCAATGGGCGCTTCTGCGGAATGGCCACAGAAACCGCATTTGCAGTCCCCGAAGACGGCGCTTTCCGGTAGGAGAGAGGACGAGCCATCGGCGGAGATTGAGACATCGAGGTGGATGGCTTCTTCTGAGAAAAATTGGATCCAATCAGACCATCGAGGCGATCGTAGAAGGGCCAAGACGAGGTTACAGATCCGTTGGAAGCGGATACTCTAGCCTTCTCGATCTTGTACTTCTTCTTAATGGTATCGATTCGGTTTTTGCACTGGACGTCAGTACGGTGAGTCTTCTTGGAGTGGCCATGGAGGGCATTGACGGCTTCAGCCACATCTTGCCAATCTTTCTGGCGAAGATTCCCCCGGTTGAGCTCGACAAAACGGCGGCCCCAAACGTCGACGAGAGTGGAGGTGGCCTCCTCGCTCCAGCAGTCTTCACGAACGGGCATGGGCCGGGAGTGGCCCGACGACGGTGTCAAGGAATCGTTCAAGTCGCCCATAGGGAGCGGCGGCGGCGGAGGCGACGGAAATAATAATACGGCACGTGATCGGTGATTTGAGATTTGGGTAGTCGGGATCGGGATCGGGAACGGGATCGGGGGTGGAAGAGAGAAGGGAGTTGGTAGGGTTAAGGGGTAAAGGGTTAAGGGTTAGAGGTTAAAGAGGTTGCGTCGGCGACGAAGTGCCGGACGCGTGAGCCGAATGTGTCGGGGGGAGAGTGAGTAATACGGTACGGTCGAGCCGTTGAAGTCACCGGGCCGGGAGAGGGGGGGAGCCGTTTAGCATCAATGGCAATGGCTTTGGGTTGCATGACGGTTGAAGTTGACGGTGAGGGAACGGCTCGGCTAGGGTTGGCTCGGCTTGATCTTATCATACTTGAGAATTGAAACATAAAAATTCAAATAATTGACAACTGCTGCATGTCGTTGGGTAATGGCGTTATTATTATTTCATATTAGGGGAGATTCGGTCGGAGTCCGAGTCCGTGTCCGAGTCCGAGTCCGAGTCCGATGTGGGTGACAGAAGGCCATCTTCTTCTCCACCGAAGGTCAACCCCTAGTTCCGGTTGGGCCTGGACCTTCCTTTTCTTTGGATCCGACTCCCGTCCCATCCCTCCTCCTCCTTGGATTCAACTAGTTCATAATAATTTAAGAATTTGTTATAAAATATTACACTTTCTTTAAAAACATTTCATATAACATTTATTTCATAATAATTTAACTCCAATATTTGTTTTGTATAATTAAAATCATAATTTAATTCGAAAATAAAATAGACACGTCCATAGACCATAGTCGATTAATAAAAAAAGAAATCAGAGTTCGATGTATATTATTCTATTTTCGAGTACAAAGTTTAATGATTGAGAAATTTTATGAATAAATTCCTCCCAACTTTATGAAGACTGAACAGATATGAACATTAAAAGGCAAGATATTCAATCTTATGAAATCAAAAAGTATGTTCCCTTTTTCGAATAGATAAAATTACTGGAATGATGAAATCTTTTGACAAACTCAAATTTTATTAACTCCATCTATTATTATTTTTTTGCTAAAAAACTTTTTTATCGCAAAGACACGAAATATTTTTGAAGGATGAATATATATAAAAATGACGAGGAGAAGATTGAGAATAGGGCATTTGTGTGATTGCATTATGTTGGAGGGGAAAATATTAGAAAAGTAAATAATAATGTGAGATTGATGATATTAAAAAGGCGAAAGCAAAGATAAAGACTTAGATAGTGACACTTTACCATACCAATCAGGGGGGAGTTGTGTATAGGACTAGGAGGGGAGCCTCGACATTATATATATATTTTTTAAATTTAATTTTTTTCCTCCTCTTTTCCATACCCATATTATTCTCAGCCGCAAAAACACTTACTTTTAAAATAAATGTTCAAAATTAGATAAATATCCACGTTACTTTTCTTCTTCCTCAACTTTACACACAAAGTATATACAACTTTTCTCTCCCAACACATTTCATTCTTATTTCACATTTCATTCTTATTTCACATTTCATTCAAGATCAAATTTATATATTTTAAAAAAAATTTAAAAAAGAAAAAGGAGAGGTAATTATTAGGAGGGGCCAATATGAGTTGTTGGGAGGGATGTGATATCTAATCCAAACTGTATGCAACTTTACAGGATTTCAATTTCCCAATCTCTCATGCCTCCTAATAATCATATCGGGAGAAGAACACGACCATTTTATTATTATTTTTATTATTATTAACACTTTGCATTATTCTATTGTGGAATTTTGAAAGCTATGTGGGGACTATCATTTCCTTTCCCTCTTTCTTTATCCACCAATTTTTTATTTTTTATTTTATTTTTTACTTTACCTTCCCATAACTAATATTATATACTCATTTAACCCAAATTTGTACTCATTTTTCATATTTTTCTTTTAATTACTTCATAAACAAATTTAAAAGGGAATATATTCTCGTAATTCATAAATATTTTCAATTTTCATTCTTCATAGAATTGCAAATAAAGTTTAAAATATTATCTATGACATCATCCAACCAAGACTGTTTTAAGTGATTTCTTGTAATTTAAATTGCTTAATTTTATCCTTTCTAAATTTTTTTTTATGATGCTTATTAAAAAAAAAAAAGCATAAAAAGAAATAAAAAGAAAAGAAAAAGAATTATACTGAAATTGTGATACAAACGCAAACACATATTTGCATCCTCTCATCTCAACCCCTCCAAATTTACATCCTCCATTGCCTGATCTTCATTTATACACACACACACACACACACATATATATATATATATATATTCATCATGATCAAACGGAGAGATTTTGATTTTTTTTTAAAGAAATTTAAGAAAATTAAACAATTTCGGGAAGGAAAAAAAAACCCCCTTGGCGAATGAACAAGCTGAATTTCCAGTTTAAAGATCAGGTGGGAACTCGGAAATGCTCTCTAAATGAGGCCTCCACACTCCGACACGCCCCCGCCGTTTATCCTTCTGACCCGTCGACAATTTCTCCGACAGTATATCACTCAGGTACCGATCCGAAACCACCAAATTCGTCACGGATATACCCGAACCGACATCGGTTCCCGGTGCTTCCCTCTTCTTCTTCTTGGACCGGGTCTTTTCTGGGGATGGAGGAAGGGGCATGAGAAAGTAAATTTTTCCACGTTGGAGCTCGGCGTCCGGCGGGAGGATCACGATCTTGGGGACCACACCGTGGTCGGAGGGGGAGGAGGGTTTTTTGAGGACGTGTTTAGGATTGGCCTTCATGATATCACTGGCCCGGATTGAGCCGGCGATCTCCTCCACGTGGCCGTTGCAATGGACGATTCTGATAACGTCGAGAGACCCACATGGGAATATGCAGGAGATGCAGCATCGAATGGCGTTCTTCATAGGCGCCGAGTTTAAATGGATGCTTTGGTTTGTGATCGGAAGTGGTGGTTTGTCATAAAGAGAGAAGAATAAGAAGAGATGAAAGGGGTCTTTTGGGTTCCAAAAATTTGTGTAACCAATCATGGCTCTGTATATATATATTATAATTTACATCTCAAAAGTGTGCGTTTGTGTGTTGTGTATGTATGAAGAGAGAAAGTTTCTTTCTTTTTATTCTTATGGGGTTTGGATGAAATTGATGGGATTAATAATGGGGCGTTTCCACCGTTCTTTCCCCTTTGGATCCTCCATCACACACCCAATCGGGTGATGTTCCAAGTGAATATAGGGTCCCTCAGATAGCTCTGAGAAGCACTTTGAACATAAGCTCTCGTGGGTTTGTTGGACTCACTCCCAACAATCCCTAAGCTTTTACATATCCTTTGTTTTGAGTTGGGTTTAGTGGAGTGGTTGTATCTACTCCATTTCTTTTGTGTGTACACCCATTTGAGAACTCAAACCAAACTAATCATGCTAATAAAACATGTTATTTTGGACATTGAATTTGTACCATAAAGCTTCTTCTCATTGTCATTCATTCTCTTCATTCTAATTTAAATATGGAGAATTGAAGTTTTGATTTTGGGTTAATGTCCCATCAGCCATATGCCCCGCCCATTTTGTTAGTGGGCAGCATGTGAATTTGTGGTATGAATAGAGAAGAGGGGTCCCTCCAACACCTTTTCTTCTTCCCTTTTTACCCTCAAAAGTATTACAATAATTCCCTTTTCTTAGTTCACTATACGTATATTTGAGTCCATTGGACTTGTAGTGAAGATTACATATGTCACCACTAGGCCCAGTTAAGTCTCACTCCAAACTCCCGCCCTACAAAATATGTCCCAATATTACTCACTATTAACTTTATCCATGTATAACATAGCCAAATTCATTAAATGTTAATAATATATATATATATATATATATTTATAATTACAAACTTTAAAATAATTAAATTGAATCGTACTCAAATTTCTCTACGGAGTAGAATAAGAATTGAAAAACTATTTTATGTCTCCATCTCTGCCACCTATTTCATTTTTCATTTCTATTCATTTTTTTCATAAAATTGGGTAATGATGCCTTTTTTCATATATATTATTAAAAAAAAAATTATTATTTTAAAGTTTTCATTTTTCAATATATTTTTAATTAAAAAATTGTAAAAAAAAATTATAATAAACCAATATTACAACCTACAAGCAATTTTAATAAACCTAGGACATAGCTTTTAGTTTAAATATTACCGTTATAGTCTTAAATTTAATTAATTAATTTTTTAATATAATAATAAAAAAAAGTGTATATACATATATATATTAATATGTGTTGAAAATATATTTATATTAAACGAAGTGAGGGACATGCGAGATGGGAAATTGGGCGAGGATGGAGACAAGACGGGAAATATAGTCACACCCTCAGTCCCATTATCTTATGGGTAAAAAGTATTCTCCACTCCCTCCCCTATTTCTCGACGGAAAATCTCCTCTCGGTTCGAGTGGTCACATGTATAAAATACACGTGTTAGAGACAACTTTTATATATTTATATATATAATCATTGTAAACTAAATCTAAGAAACTTATAATAATTTTTTATTTATTTATAGAGATAATAATTTGAGTACTAATTATGGAAAGGGAGTGCAACTTGTGGCAGATAAAAAGATGTGCAGCTACCAACAAACCGAGACTGAGCTGAGTTTCGAACCCGAGTTCTATCTAACTATGCCCGTCTTTAAGACCCATTCAACGGCTACTCCGTCAAGTTCATCCCCTTCTACGAATCCCGCACCGCCGTCGCCACCGCCCAAAATTTCGGAATTCTCGGCAATGGTCGACTTCACGTCCTCGATCTCAATCCCGCCGGTCCTATATCAGAGCACATCGCCTTCGACACCGGCGACGGAGTGTACAACCCTGTTCGTCGCGACTCCTTGGGACGATTCCAGCAATCTCTGGACTCGAACCGTCCCACCGGTGTCCGGACATTCAAAGAGCAAGAAAAAGGGAAAGATTTTGGTACTTCCTAAGAAATTATCATGTTTTCATGTTACAGAAAATGAAAGCGCGTTACTTGTTTGGTGGCAGAATAGATGTGTGCTTTTTGTTATGTAATGCAATGAATGGCAATGCCAATGGCCCCAAACTCAAACAACCAGAGACCTCAATTATCACTGATTTTTTGCAATAAGAGACCACATTATTCTATAATCAGCCTGTGGCCTTAGCTTCAAGAAAGGGAAAGGTCAGTGGTAATCCGTAAGCCACATCCCCAACTCTCTTTATCACTACTACTACTACTAATACTCTTTGTTGTTGTTGTTGTCTGCCTCAGTCCTAGCTCCAGCTCTGGTTCCCAACAATGATTTGGTCTCCTCAGCTGCCTTGTCTTTGCATGACAACTCGTTGGATCATAGGGTGAGTTTGAGGGTAACAGTTTTGCAACACTTCCAAACTGGATATGGAAGTGCCAACGAGAATAATGGTGGCTCACCCTGCCGCCATTCTTGTTGTTGTTGTTGTTGTTGTAGTATCCCCCACCTCCTTGCATCACCCCACCTGCCCATGCTTCTCCTATAACTATTACGGACAAAAACAAACAAAGTTGCATAACCACTTTATGATATTGAATTATGAACAGTTGCTTATGCTTATTTGTACCTTGCCCTGTTTGGTCAAGCTTCTTGCTTCTATACATCTGAAAATTCAATGCGTCCTATGTGGTCAGTTAGTGTTCTCGAGAGCGAAAAAACTCATCAAATTATGAAAAACAGATCAGTACCTGTAAATGGCTTTTGACATGGGCAATGCTAAGTCCTTTTACATTCATCAGCTGAAGAACCAACTTGGGTGTTGCTCCTACAATCATAGATTATTATAACAAATTGAAGTTTATTATAACTTAGTTGAAAAGAAGGAATAATGATTGTTATTACTCTCTTGGCCACCGAGCCTTTGAACGGCATGAACAAAGTTGAGATGAAGCTCAGGAGTCCAACGCAGGCGAGGCACTTTAGATCTAACATACTGTCTCACTGCTGTTCTTCTTCTTCTTCTTCCTCCATTTCCTTCTTCTCTTGATGAGTTATTTGTATTCTCATTGTTATTATGCTTTGTTGAACTTCGTCCATGCTTTCTTTCTTCATTTTGCTCAACTTCTACACTAATGTTATGATCACCATCTTCAACTCTGGCCTCCTCGTTCAAATCAAACAATGACCACTTTCTTGATGAGGTCAATGGGTTCAACTTCTCTTCGGCTACGCCTTCATCGGTCCGACTCCGTCTCCGTCGGTCTCGAAAATTCAACAACAAGTTTCTGGGATACTGAAACAAGAAAAGCCAAAAAGATCAGCAGAAAGAGAGACATAGATATGCATAAAGGTTTTGATCTTCATTTTGTAAAACATATACAAACCATTTGAGACCAAGATCTGAACTCACTTCCAATTGACTGCCTCAACTGATCTTTATAGGGAGAAACAGAGAGAGAGAAGGAGAGTATATTGATCTAAAAGTTTGTTGGATATACGTTTGTTTGTAATAATGTAATGAGTTATATATTCTTGGACTCTGATTCATGCACATTTTTAGTGCCAAAAAAGCAAGAAATTACCATTTTTTTGGAACCGAATAATAATCCAATAATGCTATCCAATGGGTTTAATTTCCACAAAAACTGTTCAAAAACACTCACGTCACTACTGCTCTTTTCTCTGTATCTCACACCTTAATTGACTGAGTGCCTTGTAGCTAGGACCTTTGTCCTTCACAATATATCAAGATTCAAGGCCACGGCTTCCCTATACGTATGATGCAAATAAGCATTAGCTGCCTCCAGAATTGGACATAAAAGCAGGAAACAGAAGAAAAGGTGGGATTTTTAGGGGTTCGTAGCTTACAATTATGTCAATATGTTGTGTAATGTGACGTTGGAAAAAGAATGAATTGATATCTATAAACTCATGCATTTACTCCATTTCTTCGCACACTTATTCTTCTTCTTTCTCCTTCCTCACGTATCTGTATAATAAATAACCCAAGCTTAGCTTATTTATTGGTTTCCTGTGTACAAACCCAACTCCCAACTCCCCCACACCAACAAAAACTAACAATAATTCGTTTTGGTCTAAGTCCACTGCGAGTAGATATTGTTCTCTTTGTCGGTCTTCTCCACAAGATTTTTAAAACATGTGCTACTAAGGAGAAGTTTTCACACCTTTATAAACAAGACTTCGTTCTTCTCTTGAACCGATGTGAGATCTCACACATTAACTTCACTAATCACAAGTAATGGCTTGTTCCATCTACCTTTGACGAACAAAAACACAATTATATTGCATAATCTAATCTAATCTTAATATAAACGAGGTATTATCTCATCCACACGAGTGAGTTGATTACTGAGAAGGCAAACATGGCCCCTTCATTACCTACCCGATTGACTAATTATTATATGCACCTGTTTCTATGCCAATAATTGGAGGGGGGCGAAGTAGAACTAAATGGGTCCCTAAATTAATTCTTCCCACTAACAAGCTGCAACTATTCCTTACATAATTCTGCAAATTCGCATTATTTATGCTACTCTTGTGAGTACCATAATGCTATCACACACACACACACACATATATCTATGAGAATTGCTAGTGTGTGGGTTTGTGAGATGAATTGTAGGTAGCATGTGGGTTCTACTTTTTGGCTAAGAAAATGCATCAAAATCCATGTGGAACATCAGGAGGTGTTATTTAATTACTGGTTTCTATTATTTGTGTATCATGTAAGTTGTTTGGTTAGAAAGTGGCAAAGTTATAATGGGTTTAAGAGCTTGTGGGCATATATCAATATAGGTAGGTTAATTGGCCGAATAATTTCCAATGGAGTGCTTAATTAGGATACTAATCTACCTCAAAAGTGGACGCCTAAAACTTGCTATTCTTTTACAGGTTCAAGGAATGTCAATTCCTATGATCTATGATATGAAATTACTGAGAGCTTGGTTGATTCATGATTTTATTTAACTCAGATAAAGCACATTGGAATGATTCTATCCTTAGGAATAACAGTGTGTTAAGTTTGAATTATTTGGTCACCTAATTATTTGTGTTCTTATGTTCTTCGGATGCTTTCAGATTTTCCATTTTCCAGTTTTTTAACTTTCAGTGAAGAATGAGCACGGTTCACGTTTGACTGATTCATTCATTCTATTAGTAGGTCGTTAGTAGATATGGTCACTTTTGAACTTCTCCTTGAAGTTTTTAAAATTCACGTTTGACTGATTCATTCATTCTATTAGTAGGTCGTTAGTAGATATGGTCACTTTTGAACTTCTCCTTGAAGTTTTTAAAATGTTTCGTTTTCCTCTCCAACCAACGTGGGATTTCACATTAATAGCCATATGATTACTATGGATAATGACATTTGAATAATTGACAAAGTAAAATAGTTCTTTTCATTATTAAGAGAAAGATCGACATAAAGCTTTCGTCAAGTTTAGTTCACATCCTTTATTCGTTTATTCAACTATATTTCTTGTTGAATGTTGGTGAAATTTCAAATCTTTAATGAACACAAACCCTCTCTTGTTACAAAAACTACACAAGTAAGCAAGATAGAAAGTTAATATTGGCGGCTGTTAATGTATCCAAGTAAGCTTATTTTAATTGGAAGACCTGATCTCCGGAAGAAAAAAATTAAGAACAGAATCTAAAAGAATTGAATGCTCTGTTTCACTTCAAATCCCGGATAAGAACCAGAACCCTTCATACTCTGTTTCACCGTAAAATTTTGGGTACAGAAGGCTGGAAGTTTTCCCTAGTTTGGTATGAAAAGGATATGCAACTGCACCCTATGAAATGGGATGGCTTTTAAATCTGGATTTTATTGAATCTTTACCATAAATGTGAAGATATAGTCTTGTTTTCAGATGATACAGATAGATAGAGCTGTTCTTCTTCCTCAGAGTAAAGATGGCATATCATTATTCATCCAAGCTACTGTTAACTCCTAATCCTACCTACCCTAACGCTACTCCAATCTTTATTATTATGCATTAGGCTGAGTGCAATTCAAATTTAATCACATTAATTGATTGATATCAAAGTCAAATCCAGCGTTCCAATCTTCTACCACAGACATTTTTCATTAATTATTCAGTCTTTTTCTAACTTACAATTATACAATTCAATTACATCGAACAAGAATCCCTCCTCAGTATTCTTAACATACAATTATTGAACCAGTTAAGAATCGCTGGTGTAGTTTAACTGGATGGTTCGTTGTTTTTTCGAGCCAATCCCACTAAATCATGCTCTACAGTATTAACTCCATTGTCTAATAATGGGGCCTTTGTACAGGCCCCGCCGGACCACGAAGTTTTCAGGTGGCTGAATCTCGTCCAACCAAGTAACTTCTGAAGGATCAGTTTCAGTTCCACACAGTTGGTCAAGACCTTTTGGATGGGATGAAAACGGAGATGATTATATGTAGAAGTAGAAGCAAAAAAGAAATCAAGAGGGAACAGATGATACCTGAAATCTCTCTCCTAGGTGACCTCCGGAAATAAGAGCAGTGTCGCCCATCGGCGGACGAGTAAGGCGGTGAAAGAATGTCGAAGATTGCGCAGGGAGTTATGGCTTTGAAGCGATGAATGTTGCCACCTCGATCTGGATAAAGAATTGTAGTTCCACAAGGTGCAATCATCTCACAGTCCCTAACAAGTTTTGCAGGTCTGGCTGAGGAATACAACTCAATTAAAATTTTATACTGAAACTTTTACTCAAAGAGAGGAAAGTGAACAAAATAACCAAGCCCGGAAAAATTAACGGTTTCACATTCGTCCCAAAAATGGATCATTTCAAATATATCACTACATCAAATGCTATTCACGGAATGAGGAAAAGATTCTTCAACTCAAGCAATTTCTTTCTTTCTTCCCAGGGCAGATGTTTAGAGCAAAAACAATTACGATAAACAATGCAGACAATTGCATGAAATTCTACCATACATAAAACGTATGGGAGGATATGTATTCGGGATGTCTGAGTAGCTACCTTCACCCTCCCAAATCACGAAATATTCCCTCTAACAACTCGCTTTATGCACTTTACCTCATGCCTCCCTCATACCATACATAAAACGTATGGGAGGATATGTATCCTAAAAGTACTTCCTGCCCAATCTTTTACCTTGTCCTCAGGGTGAAAAGATGGAAAGCGTTGTGCTATGATGATACATAAGATTCCCACTAAACTTCCTCTACTAACTAGCCTTAGCGCTAAACAAAAACTTGCAGCTCCATCAGGGTCCTTTTAGCCGAAATGCACACTCCCAGAATTGCTAAAGGGTGTCAAGCTCGAAGGTTCATCATCTAAAAAAGGTGAAGTTCTTCGTTTGGAAAATAGCGCATAAAGCCATTAGCACGAGTGAAAATATTAAAAAAGAAAAAATGGCCTCCATAATTCTATTTCCAAATTGGTGTCCATTATGGAAAAAAAAAACAAATCACAAAACTATTTATGTATGCAATGCATATACACTCAGAATTTCTGGACAACAATTCTCAATATATTCGGATGATATCTCACATTTCCTAGGGAGGTAAAGGATCTATTGGATATGGCCTTAACGTACCACCCTTTCAAGAATGCAAAAGCCCTACTATGGAAAAACCTCATCATGGCTTTCTTTTGGAATATTTGGAAAGAAAGAAATCAAAGAATACTTACGAAAAAGACACAAGACTTATACAAAATTCTTCGACAATGTTGTTTACCAAGCTATATCTAGGTGTAAACGGTCTAATATTTCTACTTCCTATAGTTATAGATTCACTCATGGTAAATTGGGAAGGTCCTTTGTAAACATCGTAAATTTCAATCATCAATGCAAATGTCTCTAATCAAAAAGTCAATAATAATAGCACTGCTTGACAATTCATTACATAAGCACTAATAAATTCTTAATTTTCTGATCTCACAAAAAACTAGAACTGGGCTTCTATCAAGCTTGAGGCGGGTTCCATGGATGAGAAAGAAATACCTTGAGAAAGATCTATGAACTCAGGTAGATCAAGCCAGTCATATGATCGTACATGTAATGCACCATATAGAAGCTTGCTCAATACAGTCATTCCAGGATGATTATGAAGTGGAATGATAGAACCTGGAGGCATGCAAAAGATTCCGATCTGCACACAACGAGAAATAGTTCCTTCGAGAGATGGCACTAAAATTGGAGCAGGGGGTGGGGAATAACCAGAATTAACATATCAATGCGATCATTTACCGAGAATCTATCACATTCATGCAAGTGTAGATATTGTATAGTTGGTGGATATTGGTGTACGCCCTTTCGACCTTTCTTCCCATTAGTAACATTCAGTGAACCTTTCCAACCACGAGCTAACTGCGACTCTCGTTCGAGACCCACATTAGATGGCTTCAGTTCATCTGAAACAGAATTGTACAAACTCATAAAGATATGCGATGCATCCTAAAAAAAACAGCTTATTGAGTGAAATTTTGTACGAAAAAGACTTATCAAGAAAATAAGCTTACTTATTTGCACACACCTAAGAGAGTAATGACCCTCTGCAGAGCCTCTTCTGACACCGGAACACTGGTAGAAAATGATGCCTTGCAAGCATCATACAAATTTTGAACTACGGGCATACTTTCAGGAGTGTATACAAGATCTTGTTGTTTATGGACCGCTCCAGCAGAGTCAGAACCTTATCTGTCACCGGAATTTGAATTTCAATCAAGGATAGAGAATTTTAAGAGCCTCCTAGACTCCTCCAACCCAGAATAGTACTACTACACTGTAAATTCCATACTCAGTTTATACATCAATCCAAAGAGTAGTACTAACATTTTGGTAAGTAATCAAACCTCCCCATCTTTCTGCAGCATCCATTGGATATATTATAGAAATACACAACACACCAAATAATTTTCTCGATAGAAAAAGATATCCTTACTTTTATTATAAGTTCAATGGCCATCAAGAGTAGACACAAATGACCGAGAAGTAAAAAGGATATGGGAACCCCAGCCCTCATTTGCCCATCAATAAATCGAAAATAAGCTCATCACTATCAGAAATTACAGAGAACGTTCTGTTATTTCAACATATTTCCCCAAAAATCAAGGAGATGAAAAATCTCAAGTACTCCCCTTCCATTGAGTTCATGAAATTTCTACACTAAAACAAGCGTCACAGTTCGAATTGAATATTATACAAACAAATTAAATAGAGAGAGAGAAAATAAAAAAAAATAAAAAAAAAAAGATCGCGGGTTTTTGGTAAATTGTGGCGGGAATTAAAAAAAAAAAAAAACGTAAAATCAATGCAGAAGGATGCATTGAAACCAGAGCCCTAGATAGAAATCCAAGTTTTCAGAAAGGCAGAACAACCGAGTGAGAGAAACTGATGAAGCACCCAAAGAGAAGAGGAAGGACTTCATCGCCCCCCTTCAACATTCAGAAGATCAGATTTCAAAAAGAACAAACACAGAAAGAGAGAACAGAGCTTGGAAAAGATGAAACAATCCCAAAAGAGAAGAGTAGGGAGGATGAGTTGGGGACAAACCTGAGAAAGGACGGCGAGAAGCCACCGGTTGCCGCAATCGGCGAGTTTTTAACCGCGGGATACGGCTGCGTCGCATGGTGTTTATTTATTCTTTTAGGAATGCCACGTTTTGTCACGAAACGTTTTTATTAATAAAGAAAACAAAAGAAATCTGCAAACCAAAGTCCCAAAACCCGTCTTTGTTCGGTGATCCAATGATAGACATAAGCAAGACCCACCATTTTTTTTTTTTTTTTTTTGTTGTAATTATTAATAATTGTATTTAATTAAAGTGGGGAGAGAAAAGAATAAAAGAAGAAATAATTATTTGGGTGTTGAAATATGTGATGATTAAAAATACAGCCAAGTATTCATGTATTTTTAAATTATGTGTTCAAAACTATATACGAATTTGGAATTTTATTTTGAATTACATGCAAATATATATTAATGTTGAAGAGCACAAGGCTACCATAATAATATCCTAAGCAAGGAACTAGTGTGTATAAGCAGCTCTAATAGTCCAAGAGATTGCGTGACTTATCTCACGCACATCAATGAGAACAATTATTATTTGAGGTAGCCATGCCCTTTCTCTCTATCTGTCTGAATCAATAATATCTCTCCATGCTTGGTTCATTCAGAATCTGAAGGTATGTGTGACGGAGCACCTGCCCCCGGCTCCTCCTTCAGATTCAACAATGCCGGTTTCAATTCCTTGTTACAGAACTCTTCATACTCTGTTTTGTCGCCCCCTTTCCTCTTCACCTCCACCATCACCAGTTTCGTCGTCAACTCGAACACCTCCGCCGCAATCGTCAATGGCCCTTTCACGCCTTCCCGTGTGCCCTCTAAGCTAACCCTGCAGTCCTTCTTCCTCACGCTAAAACTCACCAATTTTGCGATATCTTCCAGCTTCGATATGATCTTCGACACTGGAGCGCTGGACACGAATCTTGCCTCCTCCCCTCCATCCTCGAACAGCCCGGAAAGATCAAATCCCGGGGAAAATGATATTATATCGAATGCATTCAAACTCGCCGGTCTTGGGAGTGACCCCATCTTTCTTCTTGTCTCAATGAACTCCGAATCCGATTCCGATTGAGATTGATCCGACAAGGAATCCACATCTTGGGTGTCGTCCTCCACGTTGCACACCTTATCATCTTCGATGTAGAATTTTATATGCTTATACCTCTTTTTGAACCATCGATTCTCCATGATTTCTGGAATTGTGAAACGGGTTTCCAGATTTGTATCCAAAAGGCGAGACAGGAGTCGAACTAGCTCCGGCGAGAACCATCTCGGACACCGGAACTCCCCCTTGTAAATCTTCTTATACATTGCCATGATGTTTTGGTCGTGGAAGGGCAAATAACCCGCCATCAGAACAAACAGAATAACCCCACATGACCAAATATCGACCTTAGCGGCCTCGTAGCCTTTGCGGGCCAATACCTCCGGAGCAACATACGCCGGTGTACCACAGAAAGTATGGAACAACCCATCTTGTCGAATTTGATCGGAGACGGCGCTTAGGCCAAAATCGGAGACCTTGAGATCTCCATTTTCATCGAGCAATAAATTCTCCGGCTTAAGGTCGCGATGATAAACACCACGCGCGTGGCAAAAGGAAACGGCGGAAATTAATTGCTGAAAATACTTTCGGGCGACCTCTTCCTTCAATCGGCCCTTGGAGACCTTCTTGAAGAGCTCGCCGCCACGGACGTATTCCATAACGAAGTAGATCTTGGTCTTGGTGGCCATAACCTCAAAAAGTTGCACAATGTTGGGATGTCGAACCCGGCGGAGGATTGAGATCTCGCGTTTGATGTGGGCGATTAGTCCGCCCTTGAGAATCTTCTCCTTATCGATGACTTTAATGGCGACACCTTCGTCGGATTTGATGTTTCGGGCATGATAGACCTTTGCAAAGGTCCCATGCCCAAGGAGCTTCCCGATCTCGTACCGCCCCAAAAGAAGAGCCGGCATGTCCTTCCTGGTGCTTTCGGACTTCTTGTCAGAGTCCGACCGATCGGCCATTGATGAAAACAGAATTGAGGGAAATGGGGAAAATGCAGCAGAGGCGGCGGGTGGGGGGAGAATTGTGGGGTTGATTGGGAGCCTAATTCTCTGCAATTAAACTATACGGGAGCAAATTTGGGATGAATTTTGCCGTATTTGGGGTTTCAGAGGAGGCGTGATTGTGAAAGATGAGCTTTATTTTTCTTCCAATTTTGGTGAGAGAGATGAAATAAAGAGAGAGAGGAGGAGAGGGCGGGTTTAAATACACCAAGGCATCGAAGGGTATATACCATTACTTTATAGCTTCCTTTGCCCTCTTCATCGCCATGTATTCCTGGAAAGTGTCACGTCCCGAGTATTATATTCTCAAAAATTCTTGGTATATAGTTAGGAATACGCCATATTTGATCTGCAAATTCAATCTCGAACATGGAGCGATCTGTTTTTGAAGACTATTACTGGATTCAATGCTAGAAATCGTTGGATTTTGGAAGGCTCAAAAGGTGCGTGCAGTTTGAGGAGAATGATTGAGAGTTTCTGTAATTAACTTTGGAGCTTCTATCTAATCTGAAACCAGCCGAATGATAGGAGTTGGGCCGAGGAAACAGTAAAACGTTATTGTGTGGCCAAGACAGGGTTTCGTTGTGGCCCACGCGTGCCCAATTTAATTCTGGTAACGCTGCTCCGCGAATTAGGTGGATCCGGCGGGGGGAAAGGATGCTAAGCCTGATGGACGGTGTGTGATTCGTTGACACGCAAGATTAGTTTGCATGCTATGTGTACGCACCTCCCCCAACCTTTTCATTACGCCAAACTGCGGTGACACGTGACCGTGAGTAGATAACAAAATGATCTTTCCACGCCTCCAGGGGACACCTATTAATATCACCCATAGTTTACAAAATAGTAAAATATCAATTATAAAAATTTTGTTCGATATACTTTTCAGAACGACTCTGCCCTTAACTTAATCATATCAATAAAATTTTTAAATGTCGAACAAATAAGTTACGAGTCAAAAGTGACTCAAGCGTCAAAAATAAAATGTATACTTTGTTTGAGGGTTCAAGAGAAAAGGTCAAGTCTCAATTAAAGAGTGATTGTTCCGAGGATTCATACGCATTAGGAAAGACTCTATGATGTACTTTGTTCGCTTTTGACTCATATTGATAATTGTTGGAAGAGAAGTCTCGTATTGGGTAATTAAGAAATGGCCATAGATTTATAAATAAGAAATACATATTCATTGGTTTGAAGTATTTTGAGGAAACAAAAAATAAAGTCACAGGACATTATTCTCAAAGTGAATAATATCATATTATTGCGAAGAATCGTGATTTGTAACCGTAATTGTTATCATACAAGCATGTTGGTAGCATTATTGACCTAACAATGTCTCCATCAAGTAGGAATGTTCTAGCAAACTCCACGCAAGCACCGACTTATATTTCTTGAATCAAGAAATTGATTGCGACAAATATAGTTTGAATTAAATAATTTATTTTTATTTTTGAAGTAAGGATGGAAGAGTACTTGAAAGACCCAACGAGGATAACCGCCCAACCACTGGTCAGCTTATTGTTGCAACAAATTAATAAGATGAATGATAGGAATGCCACATGGATATGTATATTATAAGTACATTTGACAATTTTAATGTCGCTCTTGTATTTAAATAATTAAAGTCAACAAAGTTAGGAATTATGTCGGTTATTTTGAATTTAAATCTGATGACCTTGACCTAAAACTATGACAGATGGATGCTAGTTGGCTGGATTCAAAATAAAACAATATATTTATTTACAAAGAATGCACTTTGGATAAGGAAGATATAAGGTTTCCTAAAATACATATAAAATATAAAATACCTTTAAATAGAGGAGAAGTGGAAAATTCAAGCTTTCATGGTATAAAATAATGTCTTGAACTTAAATAGGCTTTTGAACATAGCCTGTTGGGTCGAGTTGGGGTTTCGTTCTTCATGGGCCTTACCGCCCAGGGAGACGTCCAAGTGTAGATGTTGGGTGGGCCGTTGAGTGGAGGATTGTGGCCTAAATGGCGGTCTGAGCGACACGCGCAAAGGAGTAAAAGCGATGGATGGATGTGAAGAAAATAAGAAGAATAGAAGCATGATGATTATGGGCATAAAGTGCTTAAAAGGAAGGGAATTTGGATGGAATTTGAAGGGCGGCATGTGGTGAAATCTTTTATCTGATGCATGGTCAAGGCTTTCCCTTGAAATTCACAAACTTACTTTAACCCCACTGCCACCACTGCTCACTCCTAATTCCAAAATCCCCTTTCCTTCCCAACCTCACACGCTTAGGCTCTCTTTTTTCCCTTTTTCTTCCTACGCCATTTTTCTCCTATCATGTATAAACAGACCATATCTATTGGCGGTGGACTCTAGAATTGTGGTGAGTTGGGGGCGTTGGTGAGGAAGAAGGGCGAAGGGGCTGGGGTTGAAGCTGAATAATCATATTACATTTGGAGAATACAATTTAATTTAGGGAATTAATAAACAAATTATGATTAATTATGATTATTTACAGATTTTCACATGGACCCATGTATATTTATGAATAAAAGAAAAAGAAAAAGGAAAGAGAATCAGCAAAATTGATATTTTATGATGTCCACTTAGAAAGAGCAATAATTAGGACAGAAGGAGAAACACAGCAGGTGGAGAAATTATTGGAAGCTGGGGGCATTTTAGTCATATAGACGTCGGCAGCCAGTGTTCGTAATTCAGAAGGTTATTTCCGTCATTTCACAAACTCTCTCTCTCTCTGTGATACAGTGAAAAAGAAGAAGCAAAGAAGAGAGACCAAGAAGACAGAGTGCTGGAATCACATGGCCTTGTTTTTCTGTCACCTTTCTCTTTCTTCTCCCTTCTCATCACTGCAATCCCTTTCTTCCTCTTCTTTTTAATCGCCAACTCAACCAACCACTACCTTCCCTTTCCTTCCTTCTCTCCCATTCGCCTATGGCCGACGTTAAGGTACGTATCTTTTTCTTTTTTCTTCTTTAATTTCGTCTTCTTTCTTTCTTTCTTTCCTGGATTTGAATGTTGCGTTGCGAGATTAGTCGGGGAATATGTGTACGTAAGAACATTGCCTGAAGTGTTGCACCTTCCTCCCGTTTCGTCTCTTCTGTTCTCTTCTTGCGTTTTGTTACCAGCCTGGACGGTGATCTCGTTCCGCATTGTGAGAAGAGGATCGGGAATACCTTACTTATTCTTCTCTGCCTCGATCTGTGAATTAGATGATTCTGTTTCTGAAGAGTTTCTTGGCTGTATTTGTTTCAATTTCTGTACAGTTTCTGAGAGGTTCTGATTATCTGTAATTTTTAGCTCTTCATCTCTCTCCAGTACTCGAGATTTTATTATTTAATTTCTGTGGCCATCTTTTTGGGTTTAACTTAGCTGATGCATCTATGTTAACTCCATCGATTAAACTTATACATATATTTATTTATTTATTTATGCTACGTGAACTAATTTAATTTATGGATCGCACTTGTTACCCTTTGTTTGATATTTGATTAATCTTAAATAACTTGCTTGAGCTATATAGCTCAAGCCTATCTGAAATTATTTTCTAATTATTCTTTAGTGAAGATTGTCCTCCACAGGTCCATGCATTTCAGTTCTTATTTTATTTGGTTTCAGCAACTTCTTTCCTTCGATTTCTTTTCCTACCCCCCTCTCTTTTTGGCACTTATTAGGGATCTCTGTTTGTTGGTCTTTCCATTCTTTGTTCTTCTATTCATTTAAAAAAGAAAAAAAATCTCTTGCTGTGGATGTTAGGGCTTCTTTCTGATAGTTGTTTATTAGTGAGTTAAACGTAGTTTCTATTCTAACATTGGTTATCTTTTACGTGATCCCTCCACTCTAAACAACCAACGTTTCAGTTTCAATTTTCCAATCGATTCCTTCCAACCTCGTAACGCAATATATGCTTTGCAGGAAATGTCAGCCCCTGTCATTGATGGAAATGACCCAGTTACTGGTCACATAATATCAACGACTATTGGAGGCAAGAATGGGGAGCCCAAACAGGTTAACATTCACGTCAATCCCGTTCCTCTTACATTCTATTTTCCTCATGTGTGTGCTATAAAACATAGAGACTTGGAGATTTCATGTTGTTGGCCAGTATTTATGTTTCTACACAAACTTATGATACTTTTGTTTTTTCTTGGTTCTGTAGACCATAAGTTACATGGCAGAACGTGTTGTTGGAACTGGATCATTTGGTATTGTTTTCAAGGTATTCTAAATGTTACTCCTCTAGCACTTCGATTCTTTTGATATTGTCTTTGATCAAGTAATGTATGATACATACATGTGCTCTTTGTCAGGCCAAATGCTTGGAAACGGGTGAAAATGTGGCTATAAAGAAGGTTTTGCAGGACAGAAGATATAAGAACCGTGAACTCCAGTTAATGCGTGTGATGGATCATCCAAATGTCATTTCCTTAAAGCATTGTTTCTTTTCCACTACTACAAAAGACGAGCTTTTTCTCAACTTGGTTATGGAATATGTTCCCGAAACCATGTTTCGGGTATTGAAGCATTACAGTAATGCAAATCAAAGGATGCCAATCATCTATGTCAAATCATACATGTACCAGGTATAGATAATTCTCCTGTATAATTTCAACTTTTTTGATCAACACACTTTTCTTTTCTCATGTCATCTGTTGTTTTTTTCCAGGTTTTTAGGGGCCTGGCCTATATCCACTCGGTTCCTGGAGTTTGCCACCGAGATTTGAAGCCTCAAAATATTTTGGTATTGTTCTTTGATGGTTTGAAAGTGGATATGGAAGTTGAAATGATTTTTTGTTGAAAACAACAGTTTGTAGAGGCCTATCCTTGTGTTTGATGATTGCCTAATGCCTGTTTGCTTTCTGCAGGTGGATCCCCTTACTCACCAAGTTAAAATATGCGATTTTGGAAGCGCTAAAATGCTTGTACGTTGATAAATTTTCAATATCTTGTTTCTTTCACTTATTTTGTTTTTGACACTTCCAGCGTGTATATTGAAACTTGCTATTTACTTCGTTAGTTTAAATTTCCTATTTTCCTTTAGAAAGCATATTTGCTGTTGTCATTTAAGATTCAAGACTCCCTTGTTACATTGGACGTTGCACTTACAAATCTTGCAAGGTTTTTCCATGCTTATAAGTGAGAACTCCAAACAAACATACCAGGACCAATTGGAGTAATCTCTCGGGTGTGTGGGGGTGTATGTTTCCTGTCCATATGTGACTTTTGCTTATCATAAGAGTTCACCAATTCTTTGGATTGGGGCATTGGCTTCCAAAACTTGTTTCTTAGATAGACAGTAGACAATCACTTTTATAAATGTTTCCAGCGGTCTATTTGATTAACAAAACCAGCAGTGAATCACCATGGTTAAGTAGCAAATGCTATATTTTCTTTGGCCCCTTTTCTGCGTTGAGTCTTATTCTGTGTACTCTTATCCGTGTGCTCCAGATGAAAGGTGAAGCCAACGTTTCATACATATGTTCGCGCTTCTATAGGGCACCAGAACTCATCTTTGGAGCTACAGAGTACACAACCTCCATAGATATTTGGTCTGCTGGTTGTGTCCTTGCAG